TATCTATCTATCTATCTATCTATCTATCTATCTATCTATCTATCTATCTATCATCTATCTACCTACCTACCTACCTACCTACCTACCTATAATGTGTCTGGTCCCTAGAGCTGTTAGCTGTTTGACTCCTTTCTCACCATGGCTTTACTGTTTTAGTCATTTATTTTTATGTTTAGCCTATCACGGCTCTTCCCTTTGAACAGACAAGTCTTCGGAGTATCAATTTGCAATAGTGTTTCTGCTTGAAGTTCTCCATTTTTGTCTGAACTGATTTTTCCTGTTACATTTCCAAAATAGCTGCTTAGAGTAAAGGCTCAAGTGACCCTGTTTATCTAAATGCATCAGATGCCTGCATCTTTTGAGTTTTGTCTAAGAAATTGAATCTCCATCAGAGCCTTCTATTTATAAGCTATTGCTGTTCTGCAGGAGATGCCCTGAATAAATCATTCATTTCTTTGGCTTTGGTTGGTTCATGAGGCTAATTCTAGGAAAGAATATATCAAATATGAATTTACTTGTAGCTGTTTTTTAACACTTTGGAGGCCTGCTACCCAGCTCCTGAATAAATACACGGAGACCTATTCTTATTTATGAATGCCCAGCATTAGCTTGGCTTGTTTCTATCCAGCTTTTCTAATCTAAATTATCTCATTTATCTTTAACTACATTTTGCCTCTGGGCTTTTTACCTTTATTAAATATACCTTTCTTTTCTTCTTACTCAATAACTGACTGTGGATGGGTGGCTGGCCCCTAGAATCCTCTTCTTCTTTTCTTGCTCCTCATTCTCTTAACTAAATTTCTCCCCCTATTTATTCTCTCTGCCTACTAATCCTGCCTATTTCTCTCCTGCTTAGCTACTGGCCATTTAATTATCTCTTTATTAGACCAATGTAACACGGCTTTTCAGAGTTAAACAAAAGCAACATGAAAGAATGCAACACATCTTTACATCATTAAACAAATATTCTAAAACATAAGGAAATGTAACACATCTTAAACTAATATTCCACAATATTTACCATCTTAACATTTTCATATGTATATAAGAATTCATATGAATTTCTCATATACATTTATATACATACATGTACACACACATACCCCACATACACCTCGATGTTGGTATCTTTTTAATCTGCAGAAACTCACAGAGCAAGGTCAAACATCCTGATTTTCCCTGATTCTATTTTGAATTACTGAGCATGGTGATGTTTCTGGACACTGAGTGTCTGTTGCATTTGCTTGGACTGAGTAAAACCATTTTTGAAAACAGAAGGTGTGATTTTTGCTTTAACATGTTTCCAAGCTAAGTATTTTTTTTATAACTTTTCAATGTTTTCTATCGATGCAGAGTCGCCTTACTGCTGTATTTTGTAAGAAGGAGATGGTCTCCTTTCATGAGACCTTAGCTTTAGGTGCCGCTGTTTGGCAAGGTGCTATTGTGTGTCCTCTGTGCTGCTGCCAGAAGAGCAGTGGAGGAATTAAACAGAGGGACTATTGTCACTGGTCTACAGGTGTTCTGCATGGACTAGAAAACGATCTTTGGTAGCTGAGGATGCCCTTGACATTCTGATCCTCCTGCCTCTACCTCCTAATCCCTGGGATGATGGGCATGAGCCTTACTGTTGGCCCTGTTTGTGTGTTCCTGGAGTACTGAAGCCAGGCCCGCATGCCTGCCAGGCTAGACACTCTTCTGTATCTCTAACACTAAAGCAAGGAACTTCTTCTTTTACCATGAATGACTATCGAGAAAGGAGAAAATTAAAATTCAAAACTCTGTAAATCTTTCCTGAATATGTATAACTTTGGTATGTATATATATTTAAGGAATTATGTTTATTTTTAATACTTGTGTGGATAATTGTGTCTCTGTGTGTGTGTCTGTGTATGTCTGTGTCTGTGTTCATGTGAGTGTGTGACTGCACCAGAAGGAGCAGCCTATTGAATCACCTGGAGCTAGAGTTACAGGAATCTGATGTGAGAAGTCCTTCTGTATATGTGTTGCTTATTGGTTAATGGATAAAGTTACTTTGCCCTATGGCAGGGAAGAATATAGCCAGACTGGAAGAGATATATAGAGAGAGGAGGCAGATTCAAAAAGACCTCCATGTAGCTACAGAAGAAGACAGACACTGGAATCTTACCTGAAGGCCATAGCCTCATGATGATACACAGATTAGTAGAAATGAGTTAATTCAAGATGTAAGAGGTTGCTAGAAATATGCCTAAGTCATTGGTCAAACACTGTTGTAATTAATATAGTTTCTATGTGATTATTTGGGTCTGAGAGGCCAGAGAACCAATGAGCAGTCTCTGTTCACAAAATGGCACCCAAATGTTTGGCAACATATATCCACACAAAGTCTAAGAGAGCTTAAAAAAAGAGAGGGCTTCTAGACCCATAAAAATGAGAGTCAAGGGCAGAATAAAGCTAGCTAGAAGAGATATCTGGTGAGAGTAGGTGGAGTCAAAGAAATGCCATGTAGCTGCTGGAGGAGACAGTCACCAGAACCTTACTGGTAGGTCATAACCTTGTGGTGATACACAGATTAATAGAAATGAGTTAATTCGAGATGTAAGAGTTAACTAGGAATATACCCAAGTCATTGGTCAAACAGTGTTGTAATTACTATAGTTTCTGTGTGATTGTTCGTGTCTGGGCAGCGGGGAAATGACCACACAGACTCTGTTTACAGAAATCTGTGAGTCACCTGACGTGAGTGCTAGGATATGAGCTCTCATTCTTGTAACAGAGCATCATGTGCTCTGAGCAGCTCTCGTCCTCAAACATTGTAGCTCTTAATTATGAATACTCAGCCAGAAAACTCCTCGTCAATTAACAAATTGATTTTTTTCAGTTGTACCCAAAAGTGGTATTTTTTTTCTGGTTACTGAAAAAGTTCAATAGTATTTGAATATAAGGATCTCATCTCATATTTCATTGGGGCTCCAGCGTTCCTGCAAACTGCCTGCTTAAGTTGGCCATGGGGATTACAGTTTGTAGCCTGGGAGAGAACATGTGGTCACAATAAATGACAATTTGATGCTGTCGAGAGCTGGTGAGACTTGAATGTGCTTTTATGGGCATCCCTCACTGGTGACAACTTCTATGGTACAAATTATTAAGAACACTGTGTTTACATTTGCTCTTCTTGTAAATGTGCCTTACAAGCATGCACTGTGGGTTTATATAAGGTGTTAGGAGGCAGAAAAGATTATTGTTCCCAAAACCAATAACAACCCAGTAAGGGAAACAAATTATCAGTGAATTTCAGGAAACTGTGACATGTTTTTGGACATCTCTACCTCTGTCTGAGTCACTTTTATTTGAAGCTTACTTAAATTTCATTCTTCATTTTCAGGATGAGGATAAAGGACCGAGTTTTCTCCATCTTTGCTTCTGTAACAAAGTTAATTTTTGTCAATATAACACAACGAAAACAATAATGATTTTTCTTCAACTAATTATAGAATGAATACAGTTCTTATTGGAAAGACACTCTTTTAGTATATCTTGTGAGAGAGTAAGAACGGTGCAAAGTGAATGATTGGAGTTCATTCAGCTCTTAAAATGTTAGGTTAGAAACTCACTTAAATATTAAAAAGCTCTAGCGAATAAACCCACTGTTGGTTGCTGTGGTGATTTAGCATTACAACTGCTCATTGTGCTGGCTTTGCTACTGTGGTATTTAGTGAAAATGTGACAGCAAAAATTTACACACTAATATCCCCAAGTTTTCCAGTATTTTATTTTACAAAGAATGTGTAAGTGTACATAGAAAATACGTACTCGTGTCTAGGAAGAAACCTGTTTGCTACCAATGACTAGCTCTGAGTAACTGCCTGGTACATTCTGCTATACCTGTGCCTGTATTGAATATGTAGAGTGCTTTTTGATAGGATGGACATTTTTACTATATTAATCCTACCAATTCATGAACATGGGATATTTTTCTGTCTTCTGATATTTCATTCAATTTCTTTCTTCAATATTTTAAAATTTTTAATCATGCAAGTCTTTTACTTGCTTCGTTAGAGTTACCCCAAGATATTTTACATATTTAAAGTCGTTGTAAAGGTGTTGTTTCCTGATTTCTTTCTCAGCCCATTTGTCATTTGTATACATGAAGGTTACTGCTTTCGGTGAGTTGATTTTGTATTCAGCTACTTCAGTTACCGATATTCAGAGATAAATTTATCATTAAGTTTTGGACTATTGTATTAGTCTTTTGATTTGGTGACTAACTTAAGAAATAGGAAAGTCGCATCAGATCAGAAAGCCAAGAGACAGAAACCAAACAAAGTGAGGAGAAAAGAAAAATTCTCAACCCCAAAAGGGCTTTTCTGAAGTGGTAGACATGAGTACCTCTTCTTCCAAACCCTTTATACAGCCTGTGAGAAGGCACTGAGCACCAGCATAAGAAAGATTTGGCAGCCACTGGCTCTGTACATAGGTTCATGGAAGGGAGGCTGCTGCCCTCTTAGTAGTCACAGAGATTACCCTAACAGTGAAGCAGGGCTTGCCAGTCACAACCTCTAAGACCCTTGAGCAGCAATAACCAAAAGTTATTGGTAAATGCAGGAAATTCAATTAACACAGAAAGAGGCTTACGCCTTGACACTGGGGGATGGATGACATCACTTGTGGCTGAGCTGTTTTCCTGGTGTTCCTTTCAGGATGCTGAAGGCAGGTAATCTGGGTTGACAAGTGCAGGGCCTTTCCATGTGTTTCCTTAAGCTTTTCATTCCTTCCAGAAGGAAACAGCCCAGTTGTCTCCCTGTTCTTCTCAACTCCACCTCACAGCTGTTATATAAGCATATGTCAATTGTTTAAAATTTTTCTATCTATGCCTTTTAAAATGTTAGCATTATAAGGAGGATCATTACATTTATAATGAGTTATATCAACTTCTCTTTCAGAAATCGATGAGAAGAGGGTAACCAACACCCAAGAAGTAAGTTTTCCTATATTTTGTATAAATATGTGAAAACATAATTAACTATGATATCACTGTGTTTTTGTTTTGTTTTTTTTTCTCCTTATTCTGAAAATCAAAAGTAGACTCTCACACACAGGCATATTCTCTGCAGAGCTACATGCCCAGCCCCGAATATTTTTTGGAGCAGAGTTCATGGGTGCCAATCTACATTAATGTTAACTGTGTGGTTGATAATACAACAATAACATAAGCAGTTGACATAAATAAATATCACTGTGAAATAGAAAGTATTCAGGTTGCTTTTCCTGAAAGAACAGGGAACTTTCTTGATGTGGTGTGATAAAAATCTCTGCCTCGGCTACTTTTCTTCTTGATACAATGCTAAGCCCTGCAAAGACTTCTAAATTAAAGTTTTGATTTTGGTTGTGAGATATGCAACTGGTAATTTTAATTTCCTGTGTGATTGTATAGAAACACAACAAACAGGGCTAGATAACATTGGAATTAAAGAGTAAGGAGATGGAGGCGTGCCAGGCACATGTCAAAAGCGCTTCAGCTGTTCAGAGCCAAAGTCAGCCCCATAGTCCAAGTCTGGGGAGAACAACTTCCTCTAGAATCCAGAGCCTTGGTAACCAGGACGAATGGGGTCACCAAGTAACGTGTTCAAATGCAAACTCAGCACCCGTATCTAAAGGAAGAACTCAGAAAGGAAGTCGGAGCCTGGGGAGTCTTGGGGACCTGATAGCATATATAAAATATGAAGAAGTTATGTATTCCTAGTAATGAAACAAAGAGAGAATGGATGGACTGTGGATGTAAGCAGTTTCTATGATCATGAGTAACCACACCACACCCAAAGAGGAAATTCTAGAAAGTGTTAAATACCAAATAACATTTTGTACAGCTTTGTTGTAGGAGCCCCGTGGCTACTTAGACCTGAAATAATCACTCAGAAGCTATTAATTAAATCATTGATTGGCCTATTAGCTCTAGTTTCTTATTGGCTAGCTCTTACATCTAGAATTAATCCATTTTCTATTAATCTGTGTATTGTCACACGTCTGTGCTTTACCTGGTAAAGTTCCGTTCAACATTTGTCTCTGTCAGGGCTACATGGCTTCTCTCTGACTCCTCCTTCTTTCTCCCAGGATTCAGTTTAGTTTTCCCTATCTAGCTCTAATCTGCTAAGCCACTGTCCTAAACAGCTTCTTTATTCATTAACCAATAAAAGCAACACATACACAGAAAGACTTCCCAATACCATTTCCCCTTTTCTGTTTAAATAAAATGGAAGGTTTTAATTTTAACATAGTAAAATTACATATAACAAAGCAGGTATTAAGCAAGAATTACAGTTACAATATTTGTATCTACTTTACCTTTTATCATAACTAAGGAAAACTATAATTATAACTATCTATTCTTCAACTCCATCAAAGACCCCAGAAGAATATAATATTACCTAAGTAAACAAGAAGTGCATTGTAAGCAACTTCCAAAACTCTAGAATTGACAGAGACTTCTCACTGCCTGGATAGTCACCCAAAGTTCTTCTGTACCATTGGGGCATCTATCGTCAGCCTACAGGCCCATAGTATCTGGCAGACTTTCCCCTGAAGCAAGAAATATCAAACAAAATTCTGCTTATATTGGCAGTTTGTCAGTCACTTTCTTCTGTGTCCAGTAGATTATATGGCAGACTTTTTCATAAAGCAGGAACCCCAAAAGATGGTCTCACCTTTAGGCAAATTTAGCAGTCATTTCTCTGTGGGTCCTACATGTCCAGTTCACACAACATACCATGAAGCAATCCAAGAGCAGTTTCTTGTCCAAATGGCTAACCAACTTTATGAGGAGTCTCTTCAATGTCTATCAACCTCTTGAAGCTGATTGGTGCTGCCAGGATCAGATGTACCTCATGTCATGTAAAGTCCTAAGTTCTTAAGCATTTTAAATGCCATATTCTGTAGTCTTCGAAAGGTTTGAAGAATGCCTGTCCATCTGAAATACATCTCTGTACATCTAGAAAATCTTATTAAAATGACTACAAGCTTGACTATTATAGATGATTATTTATTAACCTATATTTCTTAATTATACATTGCATTTTTAAATGAGCACAAGCACGATACCTTAATCATGAGCAGAAATATACATATAACAAATTGACCTTAAATTTGTACCAATAAACCAAGATTTATACCAATGCAAATTATTTAGATCTATATCATATCCCTCTTTAAATATAAACAAATATTTATAAACAATATTTGGGAATTTGGATGTAGTTTTTTCCAAAGTGCTTTCTGCTTTTTATTGGGCAAAGTAGTTCTTGGGCAGTGTTCACAGTGATTTTTGTGGAGGATTATGGTCCATCAAACCACATTAGTCTATAAAGATTCCACAGGTTTTCATCTTCTGTGGAAACACAGGAAGAATCTCTTCTCCAAAACAACATACCCTTAGACCCAGATTCTGAAATCAAGATACCTTTAGAGTATATATGTTGGTTTAGTTTAGCAGTCTGTACAATGAAATGTCTCTCTGTACTTAGCTCCTTCACAGTCAAGAAATTCAAAGAAAACACAATAATATACATAATCCAGACTCTTTGTATTTTACATCTTTACGTGGCTTGTTTCTCTTTTTTTCTTTAATCTATTACTGTTGAACTCTCTCTCTTTAAAGACTCTGTTTTATTTTTTTAAAAAACAGTTTAGTTCCTTTTATAATTCTCTATACTCTTTTTTCTTCTCTCTCCACAGCCTATATACATTTATCCATCACTGTGACCCACTTAGAGGTCTTTTTCATTTGAATCTGTCTTTATTGTGTATCTGTAATTCTTTTCTGGCCAGGACGGCTTCTTAAAATGCTAAACCAGTGTGGCCTGGGCCAACACAGCCCTGCCTACTTGCTCTGCCCGGTTCAAATCGCGGAGATATGTTCGCTGCCCCTGAGAGCCATGTATATTGTCCCATTTTTAGGCACACAGCAGGTCTATGTTGCCATTAAGCAATTTGTAGCACTCTGCTCGCAAACCCCATTTAAATGCTCTGTATTGGCCCTCCCGACAGACTTAGAGCCATTTGTGCTGGTGAACCTGGAAGCCATTGCTTTAAAAAAAAAGGGGGGGGGGAAGCAGTTTGTTTGTTTGTTTGTTTGTTTTGCTGCCCCTGAATTAGGAAGACCTCTATTAAAGTAGCTGCGGCATGTCGCCAGCAAGCAGAGCCCATCCGGAAAAAAATGTGGTTAAACTTTGTATTTTAGTGTCTAGAATTTCTTTCCAAGCCCTCCCAAGTTTTATGTGGATTTAACTAACACATGTTAGAGTGCCAATTTGAATAATTTACTGAGACAGTAAATGCAAAAATACTTTGAAAACTAAGCACTTATGTAAAGTAGGCTTCATTATACTTTGTTATGACCCTACTAAAAGACCACAAAGCACTTCCATAGAATTAACTTTCTGTGTATCTAAGAATGTGTATATGGAAAAAGATACAAGGAATCCCAGAGGTAGTAGCTGTTCAAGATCAGTCTGATATGACTGAAGCAAGAGCGGTTCCCCAGAATCATCAATCACCCACCCTGTCAACACTAATGGAGACCAGTACCAGAGAACCCTGTTACAAAGTATATGCTGGGCTGGGGCTTGGCTTGGTGGAGAGTGTGCCTATGTGAGACCGGGGTTTGATCCTCAGTATAAGAAGAAAAGCAACCTCTTGGACAGCTTGTTCATTTGCTAAGGATTTGGCCAGTGTTTGTTTCAGTTTTCTTACCTTCACTTTTTGATAGATGTATTTTGAATCAGTGAACAATGACGCAAGGATGACGATTTTGAGGACAATTTAATTTGCATAAATGTGCCTCAATTGAAGTTAAAGCTTTACAAAATTGTTTCTGCTTTCTTTCAAACGCTACACCTTGCATTTTTCTTAAATACATGGAAAGTATAAAACCAGCCATCAAATACATCTTATAACTGTTTATACTTATGGTTTTCCCAACAAAGATCACTGCAGACACTAGAAATCATTAATTAGGAACCTTCCCTTCATCACATTAAAAGATATGTTAATGTCAGTTAAAAAACGTTTTCCAAGTCTCATGTAGCTTCAGTGTCACTGGGTGGTGGTGGCTGACCTTGACCTTCTGATGCGCCCTATTCCACTTCTCTAGTGCTAGAATTACAGACATACACAGCTAGGCTTTGTGAACTGATTAGCAAACACGATGCTGTGTCCATGCTAAGCCACATTACGTTTCTATCCTTTCAATATATAGTATTGTAAAAATATAAATAAATACTACATTGCATTATTATAGTATATCAATAAATATACATTGTTTAAAAAGTTATTTTGACACAATCTGATTGGTGAATGAACTATATAAATAATAATAGTAATAATAAATAATATCTATAATATTAGAGATGATTCGATGTCATTAAAGGATACTGGTTTTGACCATGAAGTATATTCTTGTTTCTATCATTTTTAAAATGTGAAGTCTCTTAGCAACCTTATCCTGATCTGGGGTATTTAGGTAACAGTTCAGTGTAGCGGTTTTGGTAAGGAAGGACTTGCCTCTTGGACAAACAGAAGGTATCACCTTGACATTTCATTCTGAGTAAAAGCAAGGCTTAGATTGAAAGTGGGAATTCAAGAAGGTTTGGAATTTCTTTTATGAATAAAGAACTCAAATTTTCCCTTTGGAACTCTCATTAATTACAGAGGCAGGACACACACACACACACACACACACACACACACACACACACACTGTGTATGTCTATATCTACACCACTGGCAGACTTTTTGAAGTATACTTTGTATACTATGTTTTTCCTGCAATTGAATTAATATTCTTTTATTTTCTTAAAATGAACTAATCTGAGGGCAGGCAAGATGGCTTAATAGGTGAAGGCCGTGGCACTGACCACTGAATCTGACACCCAAGTTTGATCTTCCACATGAACGCCATGAAAAGAGAGAAACAATTCTGCAAACTGTCCTCTGACCTCAACACATGCCTTATGGTATCTGCACATCTACACATATCCACACACAATGAACAAACAATCCAACTAATGAAAAATGATAAGTACAATAAAATTACAAACAGTACTGTTTAACTTATGTTAGCAATGGAAATATAAAAGCGTGAGAATTTTAGGATAAAACAGAGCTTTGGGTCTTGGAGGTCTGTGGTACCCCTGAGCGTGTCTATAGCTGATTACAGCTCTACTTCTTGACAGGGAGACATCAGAAAGCCCTTTGAGATACAGTACCACATTATCTTCCTCACTTGTCAGACAGCAATGTACTTTTGACAAATGTCTAATGCTTTCCTTTCCTTTGTCCACAGACGCAGAACGCATCCCCTAAGCAAAGGAAGCAGAGTGTGTACACGCCGCCTGCCATGAAAGGTACTGTTCAGGTACCATTTTTGGGGTGTCATGAACGGTGATTGTCAGGACTGGCAAGCTGTTTGTCCCGTAGACTGTTCTGTAGATTGCTGGCTTGTCTCAACACTGACACTCTCGACGGGATGGTGATGGGGAAGGCGTTTACATCTCAGAAGCATTGTTTGGTTATGGGTGAGGCAGGCAGTTGAGGAATTGATGACTTCGGAGTCCCAGAATCTTAGAATGGGAAAACAAATTTTCAAAATAATGACAAAGATTGTTTTCTTTCACCTTTCTTTGTATCTTTTCTGTGAATTTTTCCATAATCTCTAATTATGCTTGCTGATTGGCACGTGACTATCAGGAGTTTGGGTTTTTGTGGGTTTGTTTTTCATTTTGTTGTTGTTGTTTCTCCCCCTCCTCAACTCAAGGAAAGCAGAGGAGTCTGAGCTAGGTGGAAATGGAATGCCAAGGGTTTCCTCGCTGCCTTGTGCCAGGAGCCACTCTGCCGAACCCCACCCAGCACCAATTTGCTGTGCGCCTGCCAGCTGCCCAATCACAGCAGAGAATGCTAGCTCAGATGTTGGCGTTTCCCCAGAATTTCTCTTCAGCATGGAATTGCCAAGCAACATCTAAGTGCATCAGTATTTTGACTATTCCTAGTTCCAAGGAAGGCTTCTTTTCTTTTTCACACACAAATGTTCCTGACACAGGCAGCGTCTCTCCAGGCCAGTGTCTTGCCTTCCAGCTTGGCTCCCTGGCTCTTGGCTCTGAGTTCATTACCCAGAGTCCTCCAGCTCTGATCCGTGCCGCAGAAGCCAGCGGGGAAGCTTAACAGGCGAAACCGGGAGTGAGAGTTTCCACTTTTTATCTTCTTTTGGGGAAAGTGGGATATGACCCATAGCTACTCTCAGCAAATCTCAGCAAATCTCAGTTCCATGCAATTATAAAAGGGTGTGTCTATTTGTACAAGGATGAGTACATAATGTATTTGTCTGCATTGTAGTTTTTCCCAAAGCAATTTCTGAAATTCCTAGGCATCCTTGTCTAAAGATTAGTGTGGCATTTTAAGGATATTTCTTCATTGTAAGTGATTTGTATTCTCTAAGACATATCGGTTTTGGCATGAATGAACAGCAATGAATGATAAATGTGTAATTGCCCAGTTCTTTCCTCTGTTTTATTTTGGGATAGCTTAAGCTAAATAAAGTAGTCCTCAAGTCCTCAGAGAATAACTATATGATTTTGAAAGGAAAATCTTAAACTCCAAAGCCTAAGGGACCATGGTGCTCATTATTTTTAGCTCTCAAATATCTTAAGAATGTGGGATTCTAGCATTTAAGGAAGCTAGTTCAACTGAAGTATTTTAAATATAACTTTACACTGTGGAGCCGAGAGATTGTTCTTCAACCACCACCATCTACCATACTGAGGTAAAGCCTTAAGGGAGCACAGCCATGCTTTCACGGAGGGATCTGGGTTTTGGTACCTGTCACTTCGGGAATATCTCTGTTAGTTTTCAGCTTAGGACAGAAGAGAAAGGCAAGTCTAAATGATTCCCTCCACCTCTCTGTTTCTAAGAGCTGGAAATGGGTGTCTGAAGACCAATTGAACCAATGGTAACATATGGTCTATTTTGAGTAAGGAGAGTAGCTGTAATCATAAGACGGATGGCTGAACAAAGGGAGTGTTGTTGAGATGGTAAAGACATTAATGCAGTTGTCCCAGATGGGAAGCTCTTGGGATTGCAGGGGAACAGTGCGAAAAGTGGGAGTAAAATGGTTTGCTGGGGGGGTCAGGGCACCCACAGAGGCAATGAACAGTTGTGAAACGAGCAAACAAGCCAAACAACAAAACTAGGAGGCAATTGTGCCTGAAATACTCTTCCACCGTCAACTTAATGCTTTGTGCAAGCAATGTCGAATTAGTTCTTGCTGGCACCCATATGTATTGTTGACAGATAGCAAACTGACTGTGAATCTAAGGTTTCTTCACCTCCGTTTCTACTGATTTTCATATTCACCTATCATTTCTCGCTGTCAAACTATAAGCCTTTTTTTTTTTTTGCTCTAGCAAAATGGAAGTCTGTTATCTCAATAGGTTTTTCTACATCTAGAGCTTGGGGTGGGAGAATTGTCTGTATTCTGTCAATCATATTTTAATAAAATGCTGATTGGCCAGGCAGGCAGTAAAGACAGGAAAGCCAGACAGGAAGTAGGGGTGGAGCAAAGAGACTGGGAGCATTCTGGAAAGCAGGAAGCTCCCTCCGCAGTTCTGCCCAGACCACCGGAGAGGAAAGATGTAAGCTGCCCCGCTGGAAAAGGTACTGAGCCATGTGCTAACGTAGATAAGGATAATGGGGTAACATAAGTTATAAGAGCTAATAAGTAGCCTGACCTAATGGGTCAATCAGTTTATAATCTTATGGAATCCTGTGTGTGATTTTCTTTGGGGCCTGCCTGCTATGAGGTACTGGGCGGGACAGATACCCCAACAAGCCGGCCCTCATGTTACATGAGCTGGGCTGTGGAATTGATGGATCATAGTTTGTCTCCTGATTCTATCATCCATTATGATTTCAATGATCTCAATGGTGTGCCATCTACAGAGAAAATAAATTCCTCTTTCATATTCTTAATCCAAATCTATTACAATTCTGTCAAACGGAACAAAATGCAGACAGAAAAAGAGAGTGCCCAGGAGCACTTGGGTCTCCCTCAGGTTCACGCTCACTTTGACTGCCACGATTTAGCAATTATCCACCAGACAGAACAGAAGGCTCTCCCTTTGCATCCGAGGTCCTTAGAGGCACTCTTCTTTGACAGGCTGAGTTGCTTCAGATGTCCTGTGCTCACCACACTTTTTATAATATACAGATCAACCATAAATTTAAGATACATATTGTACTTCAAAATGACAGACGTTGACATTTTCATCAGAAACACTGACTTTTCCCTGCCACTATCATCTAGTGCCTTTTGATCAGATAAGTAGAACATTCCAAAGGTTATCATAAAGATGACAGCGGATGGCTGGAGGTCCCTGTGAATTCTCTTGGGGTTTATTTGTGTGGTTGTCAGCCTGCAGTTTACAGAACAGTCGATTAAATTATTGTTGGATCGCTTGAGTCTTGTTTTCAGGAAAGCAAAGTGAATTTGAATCCTGGCACCGAAAATGGCTGACTCATTTCCTCGCCATGTGTGTACGTGTGTGTGTGTGTGTGTGTGTGTGTGTGTGTGTGTGTTCTACTGGAATTCAAATGTGATTTACTGCAAAGTGCTATTGATTTCAATGGAACCTGAACATTAAACAAAGGAGCAGAGAGGAAACTCACTTAGTGTGCAGAGCCCATTAGTATTATATTTCTGTTCTTAATGTACAGCAAGCCGTATGCTTCCCTTACTTCACAAACATCTTCTCTCTGATTTCCTGTGAAGGAAGTTTTAGCTGCTCCAGCGCCCTGCGCGTGCTCTTCTGAGCTGAAGGGTCAGGTCGATCTTCAGATGGAGAAGGCGTTTTCACTCCAGCCTCTTATTTTTAATTTCTCCAAAGATGGATGCAATCATAAATTTTTAATCTTAATTTAGCCTCCTCTCATAAATTGAGCAACAGATGAAAATAAGGAGCAACTCAGCGTAGAAATCGAACAACCTGGTAGGAAGGCTAACACGGTTCTAAGGAGCGGGGCCTCAGACTGGGGCAAAGCGGGCGGGATATGACTGAAGCCGTCTTATCTGCAGGGGAGGTCATGCTGGCTTCAGGGGAACCAACATGGAAGAACGTGGATTTTGAGGGACCTCTCATCAGGTTCTCTAGCTTGACATCTCCATTTTTGAGCTGTGCCACCTTCAGAAACTCAGAGTCAGTCTGTTTGTCTTCTCTCGCTGACGCCATGGAGATCATTGGGAAGTAAGCAGAACGTGAGAGGAAAAAGCTTAAAATAGGTCTGTCATTTGTGGGTCCGTTTTAAGTAGTTATTTGGACCCTCGATGGATAATGAGGCACAGCCACGCCCATTTCCATCGAGGTCTTCGGAGTTCAGCAATGAGAAAATGCGGAAAGCGTCGCTGTGGCTGGGAAAAGGATGAAAATGCTGCAGATCTGACCTGGCCCAATGGGAATGAAGTCAGCTCTAAGGGTACCTGGTCCTACATGTGGCTTCACTGCATCTTGCAAGAGAGACTATGATTTTACTCAGCTCAGCTACAGGCAGACTTAGAAAGTATTCTTTGGCGTTCTGGTTCCCTTTCAACACAGTCTGGTTGCGGCTTCATTTCACCCAGCGGCTCCTCACAGATGCCGTGTCCTGCTTTCCCAAGTAGATGAACAGTGCAATCAGACATAGTTTCCAGAAAGTGGAAGAGCGGGGTCTTGGCTATGGTGAATTTGGATGCAGACCGAAAGAGTACAGTAAATGTGTCTTGTCTCGGGGCTGAGTGCACTATGGACACACAGATCAAAGTCAGCGCAGGTAAATTAACAGGGATTGTACTGTGGCTGTGTCTTGGGTTCCCAGAAGCAAGTAGTCCAGGAAGGAATCAGTCAGCTCCACACTCTCCTGCCTTTACTGAGTACTGTATGGAAACGGAAAGCAAAAAGAGAGGGATGAGGCATTGGAGCTGCTTACTAGGGCGTTTCCACCCCATCTATCTCCTGAGAAAATTGATTCTCAACATTCCTAATGTCACGACCCTTTAATACAGCCCCTTGTGTTGTGGTGACCCCCAACCATAAAATCTTCATTGCTACTTCATAACTTTGCTACTGTTATGAATTGTAGTGTAAATATCTGACATGTGACCCCAAGGTATTGTGACCCTCAGGGTGTAAACTCCTGCCTTAGAGCCTTTCTGGCTTTCCCCAGCTCCTCGGCAGGTTCTCATTATATCTGCCGTTCTAAATTTGGAGGGTTTTTTTCATTCTTGTTTTGCTTTGTTGCAAGATTTTTGTTTGTTTTGTTTTTGAGGGGTTTGGTGTGTGTGTGTGTGTGTGTGTATACTGGTTTAGTTTATTTACTATGC